CTCCTCCCACCCTCCATCCTCAAGCAGACCCCAGTGTCTGTTGTTTTGTGTCCATGAGTTCTCATCATTTAACTCCAACTTATAAGTAAGAACATGCAGTATTTGGTTTTCTGTTTCTGTGTTAGTTTACTAAGGATAATGGCTTCGAGCTGTATCCATGTTGCTGCAAGGGACATGATCTCATTCTTTCTTTAGGCTGCATAGTATTCTATGGTGTATAAGTACCACATTTTCTCTATCCAATCTGCACTGATGTGCATTTAGGTTGATTCCACATCTTGGCTATTGTGAATCGTGCTGCAATGAACATTTGCATACATGTGTCTTTATGGTAGAATGATTGATACTACTCTGGGTAAATAGCCAGTAATGGGATTGCTGGGTTGAATGGTAGTTCCCTTTTTAGCCCCTTGAAGAATCGCCACACGGTTTTCCACAATGGTTGAACTAATTTATACTCCCACTAACAGTGTATAGGCATTCTCTTTTCTTTGCAACCTTTGCCAGCATACGTTATTTTTTTGACTTTTTGGTAATAGCCATCCTGACTGATGTGAGATGATATCTCATTGTGGTTTTGATTTGCATTTCTCTAACGATCACTGATATTGAGCTTTTTTCCATATGCTTCTTGGCCACATGCGTGTCATCTTTTCAAGTGTCTGTTCCCCTCCTTTGCCCACTTTTTAATAGGGTTGATTTTCTTCTCATAAATTAAAACATCTGTATCTTCTACAGAATTTGTAGTATCATGTTATTTTTCCACACATTTTAATGCTTTTTTATTTTAATAAAGGCCTTCCTACTTTCTTTAGTTTGAACTGCACAATTGGGTTTTGTCTAGTAATGTTCTTATGATTTCACCGGTATGCACTCCTTTCTCCCACTACCACTCATGTTCCTGAGGAGCAAAGGGTGTGTCTTTGATTTAGAGCATATCCTCTGCAAGACCCTCATATGGATTTCATGTGATTGACATTTTCCCTATTTGGTCAATAATGAACTATACTCATCCTACCTCCTATATATTTCCTGTTTTTTGTACATTGTTTAAGGAAATACCCAAACTCTCTCAAACCACAAATAAGATCAGTGGTCTTTACTTTGAGAAGGGACACTCCTACCAGGAGCTGTTCACTGGTGTCTAATTAAGAGGTTCCCATGGAATTATTGTCCTAATATCTACATAGCACTTTATATTATCTCTTGGTAGCATCACAACAATTCTCAGAGGTAGATTTTCTTTTTTACTATGAGAAAATTACACTTAGCTTTCCTGGCCCAAATGTGTTGGGTATGGAAGAGCTAGGACATGAATCCAAGTGTTCTTTTTTTTTTTTTTTTCTAGCTTTTCTTACAGCAATTTATTTATTTTATTTTATTTTTATTTTTTATTTAATTTTTTTTATTGCATTTTAGGTTTGGGGGTACATGTGAAAAACATGCAAGATAGTTGCATAGGTACACACGTGGCAGTGTGATTTGCTGCCTTCCTCCCCTTCACCTATATCTGGCATTTCTCCCCATGCTCTCTCTCCCCAACTCCCCACCCCATGCTGTCCCTCCCCAATTCCCCACAACAGACCCCAGTGTGTAGTGCTCCCCTCCCTGTGTCCACGTGTTCTCATTGTTCAACACCCACCTATGAGTGAGAACATGCAGTGTTTGATTTTCTGTTCTTGTGTCAGTTTGCTGAGAATGATGGTCTCCAGATTCATCCATGTCTCTACAAAGGACACGAACTCATCATTTTTGATGGCTGCATAATATTCCATGGTGTATATGTGCCACATTTTCCCTGTCCAGTCTATCATCAATGGGCATTTGGGTTGGTTCCAGGTCTGTGCTGCAATGAACATTCGTGCATATGTCCTTATAGTAGAACGATTTATAATCCTTTGGATATATACCCAGTAATGGGATTGCTGGGTCAAGTGGAATTTCTATTTCTAGGTCCTTGAGGAATAGCCACACTGTCTTCCACAATGGTTGAACTAATTTACACTCCCACCAGCAGTGCAAAAGTGTTCCTATTTCTCCACATCCTCTCCAGCATCTGTTGTCTCCAGGTTTTTTAATGATTGCCATTCTAATTGGCATGAAATGGTATCTCAATGTAGTTTTGATTTGCATTTCTCTAATGACCAGTGATGAGGAACATTTTTTCACATGTTTGTTGTCCTCATGTATGTCTTCTTTTGTAAAGGGTCTGTTCATATCCTTTGCCCACTTTTGAATGAGCTTGTTTGATTTGTTCTTGTAAATCTGTTTTAGTTCTTTGTAGATTCTGGATGTCAGCCCTTTGTCAGATGGGTAAACTACAAAAATTTTTTCCCATTCTGTTGGTTGCTGATTCACTCTAATGACTGTTTCTTTTCTGTGCAGAAGCTGTGGAGTTTGATTAGGTCCCATTTGTCTATTTTGGCTTTTGTTACTAATGATTTTGGTGTTTTGATCATGAAGTCCTTGCCTATTCCTATGTCCTGAATGGTTTTCCTAGATTTTCTTCTAGGGTTTTGATGGTGCCAGGTCTTATGTTTAAGTCTTTAATCCATCTGGAGTTAATTTTAGTGTAAGGTGTCAGGAAGCAGTCCAGTTTCTGCTTTCTGCACATGGCTAGCCAGTTTTCCCAATACCATCTATTAAACAGGGAATCCTTTCCCCATTGCTTGTTTTTGTCAGGTTTGTCAAAGATTGGATGGTTGTAAATATCTTGTGTTGCCTCCGAGGCCTCTGTTCTGTTCCATTGGTCTATATGTCTGTTTTGGTACCAGTACCATGCTGTTTTGATTACTGTAGCCTTGTAGTATAGTTTGAAGTGTGGTAGTGTGATGCCTCTTGCTGTGTTCTTTTTGCTTAAAATTGACTTGGCTATGTGGGCTCTCTTTTGGTTCTATATGAAGTTTAAGGTGGCTTTTTCTCGTTCTGTGAAGAAGGTCATTGGTAGCTTGATGGATATAGCATTGAATCTATCAATTACTTTGGGCAGTATGGCCATTTTCATGATATTAATTCTTCCTAACCATGAACATGGAAGTGTTCTTATTCTAAGGTAGTGTTCATTTAGCAGGCCACATCTGTCTCCATGGGGAAGCTGCTATGGAATCAAGTGCAAAGCCAAAGCTGTTTTTGCCCCTCTTCTCCCAGGAATTATGACACAGTGGTGTGGGATAGGAGCCATCAACACTGAAGTATCTACCTATAATTTCTTGGAAACTACCTTTCTATCCATGGGCTGAAGAGTCACACCTCACAGATAAAATTGGGCACCTCTGATTATTGCCATGTGCTTCAGAGCCCATGGAGATCAGGGTCATGACAAAATGGTGCAGTATAAGCGTGACTTAAGCCCTGGAGAAACCTGTCTTCAGTCATTGCTAATTCATGTAGTTGTATCAGTCCAAAGTCTGGAGCACCAAACTGTAAATGCCTTGAGGGTTACAAGTATATTCTCATCTACTTAAGAGCCTATGGTCTAACATAGTGCCTGAGACACAATAACAGTATTTGCTGAAAAGACAAACTATTTTGGCACAAAATATAATTGAATTCAATCTTTACTTTAAACTTCTAGAATGTCATATAAATTATATGGACCTTAAAAAGACACCAGAAAGTCTCTTCCTAAATATTTTGATATTTGGATTAAAAAAGATCTCTTATGAATTCACAAAATTCAGAGGTACTGCCCTTTAACTCAGAAAGGTCTATGTCAATTCATATCAGATTAGATCTAAGTGCTACTAGTTATGTAAGACTGGGTGAAAAAATATTCTCAGGTTTACACAAGGGTTATTAAGAGATTTAAAAATAAAAATCAAAGGTAATAATAATGTATATTTCAAAATTGCTAAAAGAATGCATTTTTAACATTCTCACCACATTAGCAAATGGTAATTTGTAAAGTGATGGATATGTTATATATCAATTACAAATAAATACATTTAATAATAGCATTATGTCACAGTCACTTGCAAACCACATGAAGCTCAAATTTTATGAAGTGTCAAAATGGCCTCATTGAAATTATTTCCCAAGTATTAACACTAGGAAAGCAAAGAAAATATCAACCCTGCCACTCAGACTTATACCTTCTAGGCTGCCTGATTCAAGCAGTAGCAGATGAGGTGTTTTTATGTCGTCCCTCACACTGACTCTGTCTTCCAAATGCCATCGAATGACTTTTGCTAATTCTTTCTCAGAAAATGTGCAAAAAGGATTTCCATAGAGGTCTTTGGAGATTTCCTGTGTCCTCATGTGTGTAATAGGTTGGGTCAAGTAATAATGAAGGAACAAGGAAGAATGGGGATTTTGTTTTATGTATTTTTCTCCTTCTGGGCATCAAAAGAGGAGAAAAAAGGAAAAGGGAAAATTATACTATACAGACGATGTCAGTGTTAAATTAAATTAAGATCACATGTTTGGCTGTGGCAGCTGTAATCTTTTGATTATGGAAGAGATTGTTGGTAATGAAATACATTTGTAAGAAATATTTTTGGTGTAAACTGTATACATGTACAAACTGTGAGCTATGCATCCAATAAAATGATAGATTTAGAAATTGCCTCACACCTAAATTCATGCTTTTCAAATAGCTATTTATAGAAAGAAAAGTGATATTTAAGCTATCATAGTAGAATATTATAATCTGCCTTATATTACCTTAGATAATAGTCCCATATTTTAAAATAATGTTGTAAAAACCTTTCAATTATTTATTCACACCTAAGTCATATAAATTGAAAGATTTGGGGATGTGTCCAAGAAAATAATTATTTTTTACAAAAGTAAGACCTCACTGTCATGGCTTAGAGAGATTGCCACAAAACAAGTTATACTATATATAAAAATAAACCAAACCAATATGAATTTTTAACCAACAAAAAATTTTATAGAGACATTAAAAACAACTATTAATTTTAATCTTTTCTGTTATGAAATGAAACATCAGTGTATCTGCCTGTGCTATACATTCAATATGTATTTCTCTTTCCTGATAGGTCCTTGACACTTACTGTAAAATCTCTACAGACCTGGGTGATGATCTCAGCCTGGGGAGAGCCTATGAAGCCATCGCCAAGGTCCTGCAGAGGTAAGTTAGTGCATCCTCGTCTTGCTGTCACTGTGAATTCACTCAACTGTGAAAGGCTTAAATTGTTTGAGGTCTGTCGCTTTCCATTACGGCCTGCTTAAATTTTAAGCAGTGCCCTTCTTAAGTGACCCTTTCATCATAAGTTATTTTAAACCATTTTGGTATTTTTAAATAAGCATCTAAACTCTCCTTTGTCTATGCCTCCTTTGTATTATTTTCTTTTTGGTCCTCTGTAAGTTTAGTGATGACCTTGAATAAAAGAGAAAAAAAATCGGGTCACCTCTCACGAGTTAAGAAAGCAGAGAGCACAGAAGTATGTAGTACGCTTCAGTGGCTGAGGCTCGCCATAACCTTTCCAGATCTCTTCTTTGAGGAAAGTTTCCATTTATGCTTCAGTCATGCTTTTTCCATTAAGACATCTATCCTTTGAGCACATCTCGATAAACAACTGCTTGTAAAACCAATATTCTCAGTATTTCATTTAAAACAAAATTTTAGATATATAAACAACTTCTGATACCTATTCTTCCATGGAAGATATATTCTTCACCCTTCCCTCAGTGTATTGTAGTTATTGTTGATTCCATTTGATTGTTATATCGTAGCATTATGACTTAAGAAGGAATAACAGTAAGAATAGTTATCAAAGTTAAGGCCTTGGGTTTTACTATGTTATCTTGTATCCAAGATACAGCTTTTTAATAGTAATGGTGATAGCAGTAATTGTAATAATAGATACAGATTGTGTTAATTCTAATTTCTTCCCATTTGTATTTCAGTTGTAAACACATACAAGGTGGTGTTTTAAAAGTAAAATTGTTATTTGAAAGGCATTTGAAACATTAAAAAGTACCTAGTGAGGTAAAATTGGAATCATTATATAAGTACTAATACTAATATAATAATCATAGTTTAAAATATCAGTACCAATGAAATTAAAGATACCCTATGAAATAAATAAAATGCAGTCATCACTGGATAAATGGTTTAAGAACACAGACATATTTAGAAGGGAAGGCTGGGTGCGGTGGCTCACCCCTGTAATCCCAGCACTTTGGGAGGCTGAGACTGGTGGATCACCTGAGGTCAGGGGTTCGAGACCAGCCTGGCCAACATGGTGAAACCCCATCTCTACTCATGAGGTCAAAAGACAGAGTCCATTCTGGCCAATATGGTGAAACCCTGTCTCTACTAAAGATACAAAAAAAATTAGCTGGGCATGGTGGCATGTGCCTGTAGTCCCAGCTACTTGAGAGGCTGAGGCAGGAGAATTGCTTGAACCTGGGAGGCAGAGGTTGCAGTGAGCCAAGATCACACCACTGTAATCCAGCCTGGTGACAGAGCAAGACTCCGACTCAAGAAAAAAAAAAAAATTAACTGGGCCTGGTGGTGGGCTCCTATAAATCCAGGTACTCAGGAGGCTGAAGCAGGAGAATTGCTTAAACCCAGGAAGTGTAGGTTGCAGTGAGCCGAGATTACATCATTGCATTTTGGCCTGGACAACAAGAGCAAAACTCTATCTCAAAAAAAAAAAAAAAAGAAAGAAAGAAAGAAAAGAAGGAGAGGATGGGTGTTTACCCAAGAAAGACAGGGCTAGTTATAGGTGTGGCAAGCAGCCTGTGAGTGTTGTGATTCTTCTAAATAAAGATTGGAAACTAGTCCATGGAAGATCAGCCCAGAAATTTTTAAAAACGTTTTCTTTCCAAATAACAACCCAGAAGATGGAGATGGTTGAATACAAAGACTTGACTGACAAGAATTCAATTTATGTCTATTTAGAACAAACCAACTCTGTTGGTTGTGCCTTTTTATTATGAAATTACTTGACTGGGCTGTTATCATCACCCAAAAATCAGCAGAAAAGGACTGGATTCTTTGCTTTGCTTTGTAGTTGCAAATAATGTGTCCCCTAACATGTTTATAAAATAATTTTTACAAAATGACATTTCCATTGTGTTCCAGCATAACTAGAGAGCTAAGCTGGGTGTAGTGGTGGGTGCCTGTAATCCCAGTTATTTAGGAGGCTGAGATGGGAAGATTCCTAGACCTCAGGGGTTTGAGTCCAATCTGAGCAGCATAGCAAGACCTCATCTCAAAAATAAATAAATTAATAAAGAGATAAAATTTCAGGGGAAAATATTTTTTATAAACAAGTACTAAGCACTTACTATGTCACAGGACAAATATTGAAATGTCCCTTTGGTAACTGATGGTCTTTATAATTATTTTCGAAACTTCCTGAGACATGAGGCTGTCTTCAAATAATTCTCACCTGTTAGCCTTGCATCTTATCTGGAATGTTTAGCCTCCATCGCAGGATTTGAATTTCTGGTTGATACAATTAAAACTAGGTGAAAAGTCGATCAATTAGCTGGTGAATTTTGGCGCTAAGAGGCAATCTGATGTTTTAATTTGCCTACTTAAGTATTATTTGGGCTTGGAAGTGGGACAGAATACCACTGTATTTGATATATCATTAAGTTGAGTTTGTTTGGGATAGGACTGTGGACCCTTCTGTTCCAACACTCTCAGCAACCTACCAATGTGCCTTAGGGCAAACATTTAAAGGAGCAAGAAGATTTATCCCCATTTTACTTTTATGCCAAGTAAACTAATTCCCTTTATAAGAATTCCTGGCTAGGCACAATGGCTCACACCTGTAATCCCAGCAGTTTGGGAGGCCAAAGTGGGAGGATAATTTGAGCCCAGGATCTTGAGACCAGCTTGGGCCACATAGCAAGAACCCATCTCTATTTTTTTGTAATTAATTAAAAAAAAAGAATTCTCATCTACTAAAGTACAGTAAAGCTACCAGTGATTTCATGGTAGACATGGATTCTTATTTTATAATGTTATACAATGCACAAGACAGCGCAGGGAATGCTATTTCCGAGGCCGTAGTGAAAAAGTGTCCCAAGGCCACAGCCAGCTTTCAATCCAAATCTGTAAATTTGCAGCATTGTTAGTGGTTGTAGAGGAGCACCCAGGGGAATGAAAGCCTCTGCATATTATTTCAACATCTGTGCAAATAATTCAAAGGGTGATCTACTAACAGGCAGATGTTTCCAAACCTAAAATTCTGTAAGATAGACAATATCACCCTGAATAGCTGCAAAGCATTATTAAGTCATGTCCAGTCATAGTATAAATGCTTTGATGTAAATTCTGTGATCATTTTTAGAACATTTTGCTTGGTATCCTTCAGTAAACATGCATGTGCACACGTACACATGTGCATACACCCACACACATAGACACAAACATGGACACGCACATGTATCAGCCCTTTCAGAGTCCTAAATTGTCCTTCTTAGGTGGTTAGTAGCAACATGCAAGAAATAGACTACAGCCCAAATAGAAGAAATTATAGTGGTGGCAGCTGAGAAATAAATCAAGTTGCATATGAAGCTTAGCATCACCTCTAAATCTCTTTTTCCTAACCTGTGCAATTGCACAAGTTTCACTAATGGTAGCCCTATCTCTATAAACATATTTCATACCTTTAAAGGAAATGGAAGAGGATAGCCATGTCTCAGATAAGTGTGTGTCTAAGGCCATCAGCTGAGTGTGCATGAAAGGTGAATAAGATCTAAGGCTGGAAGCTTCTAACATGCTTATAAGAATTTATACTAAGCCTTCAATTGAAAAACATACCACAGTCCCTCAAGACTGAGGATTTCGTAATACAGAGTTGCCTGCCTGGCAACATTATTAGTAGATACAGACTTGGTGTTAGAGTTATTGAGGAAGGTGTTAATAAGTGAACAAGTTTTGTTATTTTTGCCATTGATCTGAATAATATTAATTGTGTAAGAATTTAAGCAGCATAGCAGAAAATAAGCATTTATAATGCTATTGTTCCCCTACTTAGAATAATAGTGAAGAAAAGAGTTGATACTCTAAAATGCTAACAATTGCCTTGTGAAACTACAAGAAAAGCTAGAATTACAGTTCATAAAACAAAGAGAAAGTGAGTTGAGAAATTACAAGTAAATGTTATTGTCATACACATAGACAGTTTGAGTAAATATATAGAGAGAAACGCCCTCAATTTTTCTTATGGCATTTCTTTTTTTAACCTCATTTACTGAAGTAGCTCATTTGCAGAAATGCCACAACTTTCCAAAATACTCAGACTACTTAAAAGAATACAGAGAAAAAAAGCACAAAAATATGCTTAAGACACATTGGTTACAGCTAACCCATCTCTGGGTTTATTCCATACCAATTGTAAATTTTCTTGCAAACTCAAGTTAAATTATTTCCTAGAAAACTTTCCACAATAGGGATCTTTAAATCAATCAGTACAAAGTTTCAAGTGTGAAAATTACCTTTCTGTTATAGCTGAGAATTAATTTTTTCTTGCTTGAGAGAAATGACACGCCCTAGTAATTTTCATATATTCGTTAAAATGGAACATCCAGGCTTTGATGTGAAATTTCCTAAAAATGACCAAAAAATACATCAAAACATATCTATTAATTCATGAAATTAAGAATAGCTTTTTGCATTTTCTCCTGTCACTGATCCCATTTGCCTTATTACTTTCATCTGTGGCCCACAAACTTGGTGGCACAATCAACAAACCCCTTAGTGGCTGTTTCATCTCTGCTCTATTTGATTTCTTCTCTCTGAGTAAATGATTAAGTTTTCATGCATTGGTTCAACCAAAATCTATGTTCACTCAACCACATCCTTTATTGATTACTTCTACTGCAAACAGTAGGCCAAGTGTGATATACATAATTGGACAGTTGTCAAGGGACGTGGGTGTTAACGGTCCTGTTTTCCCAGTTGGAAACTGGAATCACCTTGATACACAAATATTCTGCACTGTTTCATTCTCATTCTTTGGACCGAGGAGTCCTGTTCCTCCGAATATATGTTTTTAACTCTCTAAGGTCTGGTTGAATGAATTTAATGATTATACCATATAATATGCTGTTCAAGTTGCACCTGTGCACTGCATATAGAAAACTGGAATTAATATTTATCTAACA